ATCAGTTTGAAATTCACTTTCTAATGTACATATTATTGAATAAAAGTTACATACAGGGTGTCCTAAAAAGTTGGTTACTTAGAATATCAGTTTGAAATTCACTTTCTAATGTACATATTATTGAATAAAAGTTACATACAGGGTGTCCTAAAAAGTTGGTTACTTAGAATATCAGTTTGAAATTCACTTTCTAATGTACATATTATTGAATAAAAGTTATGTACAGGATGTCCTAAAAGTTGGTTACTTATGATATCAGTTTGAAATTCACTTTCTAATGTACATATTATTGATTAAAAGTTATGTACAGGGTGTCCTAAAAGTTTGTTACTTATGATATCAGTTTGAAATTCACTTTCTAATGTACATATTATTGATTAAAAGTTATGTACAGGGTGTCCTAAAAGTTGTTTACCATTTGTGACATTGATGAAATTAACAGATTTTTTATGTAATGACACAGAGGACTGATAAATATAGAGGTGACTTTAATTAAACACATTCAGTCTGATTTTGAGGGATGACATTTTGAGTATATTCTGTGAATGTGTATAGATATTCAGCCTATGATAACGGACTAACCAGAATAGTTTGTTTTTAAACATGCTGTCTCAAAGAATAAAAAAATTCAAGAACATCACAACTGCTTACAGAATGTATACCTTTTCTGAGCCTGTTTTGATTAGGTACTCCAGTAGAACTAAGGCTTTATACACGTGTCTCCAATTCTTTCCGTGGTCATTGAGACGTTTCCAAATCATCTTCATGATTTCTGAAAAAGCCACCACATTGTAGGTCAAGTCTGCTATTTCACTCATCAAGGTGCTCGAGGGTCCCCATGGATCGTTAGACGTAGCTTCCCTTACCTTCACTTCAGCATCGGAGTAATTCCGGACAACGTTTTTCACATTACGTCGAATACCTTGTACATTGATCATTTTTATTTCCAACGCACTTGGATTTGTCAGCTAAATTTCATTCTACAGAAAAACGTTGAACTGGGTGGTAGCAATAAATATGGTGCTTTACCGATTCTCGTCAACCCTAAAAAATACAAATGAATGATACAAGTGAAACAAGTCTTAAAAGATTTTTTAAAAAGTTAAAATTATAAAAGATTATCATAATTTAAAAAAAAAATCCAAATTACTATTCTCAACAAACCTAAGCTTCAATGTGTAAATTTTGCAAAAATATGATATCAATATGTAACAGATTTCAGGATGTGTTCAGTATGTAACATAGATTTCAATTGAAATACTGAACACACCCTGAAATCTATGTTACGTACTGAACACACCCTGAAATCTATGTTACGTACTGAACA